TTGAACACATATGGCTTACAGCCTGGTGCCTTATTCTGAACTCCTCTTAAAAAACAAACCAAACAAACATATTTTGAGTCAGTAGTCAGTGGCCACCTTTCTTTTGAAATACATAGGATGCTAAGATTGTCTTTTATAAGTGATGCTTTGATGTAACAGACAGGTTTTGTTAGTCCAAATGACCGTCGTTTCCTTAAGTAGGTCGGGTGAGCTGATCTGAGTATTTTACGGATCAACTCAAAACAGCCATCTCCAGGTTTTTCAGGGAATTGTCAAAAACCATATATAGTCTATAGCGAGCAATCATATGTTGTTGATGTCTGGGAGAATGTGCAGACTGCTTTGAGCTACAGTAACTCAATAACCCCTCGTTACAACAAAGGTATGCAGACGAGCATCTCTGAATGTCCAAAACATTGAAACTTGAAGTAGATGGACTGTTGCAGCAGTTAACGACAGTAAACCGAGGTCCAGTTGGCGCTGGCTCACCAACATTGGACAGTATATAGGAAAACGTTGCCTGGTCTGATGAGTTTTGATTTTTGGATCAGAATTTAGCGAAAACAACATGAAAAGATCCGTCCTGTCTTGTATGAGTGGTTCAGACTGGTGCTGTCACAATGTAGGGGATGTTTGCTTGGCACATTTTGGCCTCTGAATACCAACTGAACACTGTTTAGATGTCACAGCCTACATGGTTATTGACCACATTTATCCCTGTGAGACCACAGTCTTCCAGAAGCATAACACACCATGTCACAAAACTCGAATCATCTCAAATTGGCTTCCTGAACTTGACGGTGGACGTGCAGCTGCAACTGTGCTGCTATGGTGGCAGTACGAACCAAAATCTCAAAGGAAGATTTCTAGTACTTTGTCAGATCTATGCCATGAGACGGGCAAGCAAAGAATGTAGAGATTTCTAAAGGAAAAGGGTTCCAACGCAGTATTACCAAGGTCTACATGAGTGTGTAATTAAAAGGTAGACCATTACAATGACTGATGGATATAAAAATAATATGTACATTATGAAGTGCATACCCAAACCTTTTGGTGACAGTCCTGGCTACGTATCCTTTCTCGTGCATATGGCAAACATTTAAAGTTATTCCATTAAAAAAGACTCGTCATGCTCTGTAACAGGATATTTTAGATATCAACAGCCACAAATGGAAAGTTGTAAAACATATCTTAAGTCCTGGAAACTAGCCCAGAGATTTTTGATTAGTGACTGTATATCAGGGATGTCCAACTCCAGGTCTCGAGCGCCGCTGTCCTGCAGGTTTTAGATCTCGCCCTGGGTCAGCACACCTGAATCACATGATTAGCTCATTAGCAGGCCTCTGGAGAACTTCAGGTCATTTAGCCATTTAAATCAGCGGTTCAGGACACAGCACTCGAGGCCTTGAGTTGCCTACCCCTGTTGTATACAGTGTGGCTTTAGTTCCTCAAAACGTAAATACAGAGAAGTGATGAAGTGATTCACCTGAGAGTCAAGAGCCTCTAGGGCTGTGATGACGGAAACTGAACCTACACACAGTGTTGGGGAGTAACGGAATACATGTACCGCCGTTACGTATTTAAAATACAAAATATGAGTAACTGTATTCCGTTACAGTTA